ATTTTGCTTCATGCTGATCATCACTGACTGGAAAGAAATCTATTCTTTGTTAGATAACTTGGTCTGTGCTTCCCAAAGTAAAGAGTTCACTGAAATAGAAGCCACAACAGTAGAGAATGGGGTAACGAATGTGAATGAAACAAAGTGAGAAATGTTTCTGCAACTTATCAAATCAAAAAGTTGTCAAATCAAAAAGCACTAACTACACACAACAGTCAGAGGACACAATAACATGTAATATGTCATAGGCAGTCAAGATAGCTTAGTGGGCAAAGGCTCTTACAGCAGACCATTCAATCTCCAGGACTCACATGGAGAAGAGAACTACCACCCAATAAGTAGTCATTTGACCTAAACTCACATGCACAAACACACATGCACACATACAAATAAATAAATAAATAAATAAATAAATAAATAAATAAATAAATGGGACAATATGTAGACAGGTAGGTAGGTAGGTAGGTAGACAGACAGATATATAGATGTAGCTGTTCTAGTTTCCTTTCTGTGGCTGATAAAACACTAACCAAAAGCAACTGAAGACAGGAACTGCTTTATTTGGTTTATACATAACATGTCGCAATCCATCATTGAGGAAAGTCAGGGCAGGAACTCAAACAAGAACTTGAAGGTAGAAACCGTGGAGGAAAACTGTTTACTGGTTTGCTCCCAGGCTCACGATTAGCAGCTTTCTTACATAACACAGAACCATTGGCCTAAGGATGACATCCACACCCCACCACAGTAGGCTGGGCCTTCCTAATCAACTAGCGATCAGGATAATCCCCCACAGATATGTGCACAGGCCAATCTGATCTAGATAACCCTTCAAGTGAGACTTCCTTCTCCAATGACTCTAGGTTACATTAATTTGACACTTAGGTACACTTGAACATTTAATAAAGTTGTCTACCTTTAAAAATGATTCAGACTTAGAATATAGCTCAGTGGAAATTCACTGATGCACTGGGTTCCATCCCCAGTATCACCAAAATAATATTACTATAATTATTATTATAATAAAGTGATTTATTTGTCTTAAAAGTAATTGGTTATGATTTAGTAACAGATCCAGCAAAGCACAATTTGGGGCAGCAATTAGAATTAACAGAGTTCTCTATCAGGCATTTATAAATTACCTTATATAATCAGAAAATCAACTACTCTATAGAATTAAATGTCAAGTAAAAGTATTTTCCTAGTTTTACAAAAATATACTTTTAATCTTATTTTCTCCCTGCTTTTTTTATGAAAAATATAAAGAAACAATATAAAAGAGCTCACCATTATAAACTCATCTATTTTGGAATTTTTAAAAATCCAAAAGATTTCTAAAAGGGAAATAAATAAGCTAAGAGCAAGGCTGTCAGCACAGCTCAGAGGCAGGGCTCTAGCCTAGAACATGAGGAGGCCTCACAGCCAATGCCCAAAAAAATTAACAGCAGTGTTACATGTGAACTCAATTTCAGTTCTCGGATCTGAACACAGAAGTAAATGTGTTCACCTCTGCACATGCAAAGTTGATTATTTGATAAGTTTGCGAGTTCAAATTTAGAAACATGTCCCACACTAAAGACTAAACCAAAACCTTAAATACCTTTTTTTTCCTATATCCCATTTTCTCCTATCATATTAGATCAGCTTTAACTTCCAAAATATTCCTAAGTTATTTATTAACTTCTGGTATTACTGGGCAGACGAATCCATCTTTATCTTTATATTAAATTTACTAAACCAAGCATGGTGGTGTAAACTTTTAATCCTGGTACTCAGGAGGCAAAAACAAGATCTCTGTGGGTTTGTGGCTAGCCTGATTACACAGTAAGTTCCAGGACAGCCACTGCCACACAGTGAGACCCAGTCTCAAAACTAAAACAAAGTAAAAGAACTTGTATAACAGCTTCCTAGGTATTTTACTTTTGTCCTCTCTTCTTACATTATCTTCATATGACAACATATATATGTGATCCTCTATATGTAATTTCTATCATGCTATTCTTCCACTACAGAAGCTTCCCATTTCACCTACTATGAAACACTTACCCCCAGCTTTGATCTTTCATGATCTGGATCTTGTCTGATTCTTCAAACTCACTTCATAACATTTTTCTCTCCATCACACATTCCAAATATGCCCATCATCTTTGATCCTCACATAAGATATAAACTCATGTTCACAGTCTATATATTTTTCTGTTTTCTTGTTTAGAAACATGCCTCAACTACTGGATTTTGTTTGTTTTTACAACGTAAAGTATACATTGATTTTAAAAATTCAACACTACCAGAAAACATAGAATAAAGGAACTACTTAAAATTTGACCATTAGAAAGAATTAGCACTAATATTTTGGGAATAATCCTTTATATGTAACTTTGTAGGTATATTACCACTATATACTGCATATAGACTTCACAAATTTCAACTTTTTCCATACTTGTTCTTCAATTCAAACACTACTTCCTACAAGACGGCCTCCCAGGGGCTTCTTCAAGAAACCTATTTTTAATCACATCATTTGACTTCCTTCATTGCACATATTTCTCTTCAAACTATGTCTTTGTTAACTTGTCTCTAATTTTACATCTGCAGAACTCAAGATGAATTCAAGTTCCATGAAAGCAGAATCTTACCACTAATTTTCCCATCACTACAGCCTAGACTACAACCTAACACACTGTAGATGCCTAATACTTATAAAGAGATGGTGGTTTTGGTAAATTTGTGTGTATGTGTGGTACTAGGAACTGAACCCAGAGCTTCACTTATGCTAGCAAATGTTCTACCAATAAGCTACAGCTCCCCACCACCTTTTGTATATTCTATTTCTGAGACAGGGTCTCAGTAGGTTGCACAACTTGAATCAACTCCCCCTCCAGTCTAGGCAGGCCTTGACCTTGTGATCCTCCTGCCTCAGTCCCCCAAGTAGCTGGGATTACAGGTCTGACTTCAATTAACATTTATAAGCTACAAAATCCTAAATTTTTATCTTCTGCTGAATTTTTCTATAAGTTTGATACTCATACTTAACCATCCATTTGACAGCTCCAATTGGAAAATACAATGGTTCACCAAACCTGCTTCTACTCATGTTGTTCACTATTTTGATGAATGAAACCATCAACCAAATATCTCAACCAAATATCCCAAATTATAAACCTGAATTTTACCCTTGAAATGATTCCTCCTCTTCATTCCATAACCAACCAATCACCAAAATTCTCTCAATTCTACTTCCTAAAGCTCTAATCCATCAATTTTGTTCAATCCATCTGCTCTTCTTCCACCCACCCAATACAAATCATTCATCATTTCTCTTTATCAACTGCAATATCCTCCTAGCTTCCTACTCTAGATCCACTCTTACTTCCTTCTAATTTATTAGAGCCACACTCTCAGTGGCTATAATAATGTGGTGGTTAATCTTGTCAATTTGGATGGATTCAGAATTACTTAGGAGAAAGACATCTGGACATGTCTGAGAGGCTTACCTAAAATGGGAAAACCTACACTGCATGTTGACAGACCCATGCTCTGGGCTGGGTCCCAGACTTAATAAAAAGGTAAATGCAAGTGTAGCAATGGCATTCACCTCACTCAGCCTCTCAACTGAAGATGCTATGTGACCATGTTCCTACAGCCACAACTACAACTCCTCTTGCAGCCATGTCACATCACCTTACACATTTCCACTCTGCAAGTCTCAAATTCAAACATCAATTCCACAGATATCCTTCCTCCAATGTAGCCTTTGGTTATATAATTACAGTAATCTAGACAAGTGCTATGAAAGGACTGTGCATATATAATCAAAGTTATTGATTTTAAATTGGAGATTATCATGGATTACCCAGGTAAATCAGAAATTCGGAAGTTGACCAACAACCTAAATCTGGAGTTTCTCCTACCAGAGACTCCAAATAGACTGCTGTATGACCCCTGGAGATTCAAGCCTATGAGATTCTAAGCAAGGGCCAGTTAATCTGCCTGAGTTTCTGAACTTCAGAGCTCTGATATAATGAATGAGTATTGTTTTAAGCTGTTTAACTTGAGAACAATGAAAAATATAATCAAGACACTCTTAACTTGAGAACAATGAAAAATACAACCAAGACTCTTTCTAGAACCCTAACCCCACATAAAACCTCAGTTAAGGCCCCTGTTAAATGCTCCCATAGCATTTTGCATTTCTCTGTTATAACATGCATCATATTAATTACTTAATATATATAACCTATAATGCAATGATTTTTCAATTTTGTTCACCATATACTATTATAAACCAATATCTACAATTGTTATTCATAAATGTTTGCTAATTAAATGAAAAAACTTCTTATTGTTTCCCAAAATTCTCAGTTAAGATGCACCTCCTATAAAGTGCTAGATTATGAAATACTTAAGAAGAAATGATTGGCTTATAGCAATAATTAAAAAGAGGGGAGTTAGAATGAAAGATACATACTTGGAAGCATTTAGACACATTACTTTGGGTTGACAAATCCTCCCACTCATCACTATACTCCATACACCATACATTATGCCCAATAGCTATAGCACTGAGCCTCAACCTTCCTAATGTTGTGACCCTTTAACACCATTTCTCATGTTGTGGTGACCCCCAAACCTTAAAATTATTTTCACTGCTACTTCATTTAACTGTAATTTTGCTGTTAGTGATGTAAACAATCTCATATGCAGGATATGTGATATGTGATCCCTATGAAAGAGTCATTTGATGTTACCCAAGGTTGAGAACCACTGGCCTACAGGAGCTACAGCCACCTGTCAGAAAACTACTAAATATTATCAGTAACAATGGTGATCTCCCTTTGGGTTATAGAATAAAAATTATACTACAATTTAAAAAATAATTAAACTGCAAAAATAATCCAAACTTATTCAATCTGAGACATTAATATTTTATAATAAAAAAGAATAAATATATTAAAATTATCTGGTCAGAAAAGGAAAGGATCAACAAAAAGAATACTTACATAAAAGGAAAAGCAAAAAATGGAAGTGTCATGGCAAGTCTTGCTGTAAATTCATCAGGAAGATACCATAAGTACACAATTAAGCATGTAAACAGATAAAGAACTGAAGAATAGATAATTAGTCTTCCAACCCATAATTTTTGCAATCTCTGATTTTTTTCTCTAAATTCTTCCAATGCTTCAATTTCCTGTTAAGAAAGAGGTATTCTATATTAAATCTCATAAATCATTTAAAAATTAAAATGAAAGAACATGACAGAAAGATCATATAAGATTCCTAAAATTCAATGAAATTCAACACAAACATATTCCAAAGCAAGCATAAGGAAAACTAAAAATGAAACTAAAAACTAAGAAGTCTTTTCCAACAAATTACTTTTTAAACTGAAATATTACATATTATTTTTAAATCTATCAATTTAACAAAGACAGGAGAAATAAAACTGGTATCAGCAAATACTTAGTCAAAAATAATAATTCTCCATATATGGCCTTTAAAAATCTGGCAAGAAAAAATGAGAATAAAAATTATAACACTGAAGGCCCAGGTACAGCGGCACACATCTTTAATCCTGGCACACAGCAGGCAGAGGCAGGCAGATTTCTCCAAGTTTGAGGCCAGCCTGCTCTAAATAGACAGTTCTAGGCCAGACAGAATAATATATAGTGAGACTGTCTCCAAAAACAAAAACAAAAAAAAGTGACTGAAACTACATCATTTCAGTTTATTCATTATTCCCAATATTACTAGGAAAAATCACTAAATAAGAGAAAAATATAAAAGGTACAGAATTGTTGCAGACTGATAAAAGTTGCACAGTAGCCTGCAATCTTTATTATGCTATCTGTTGTATCGATTTACACCATGCTAGCTCTTAATTGCATTCTATCGGATTCTATTATTTGATATTCTACTACTTCATACAAGCTTCTTAAGTCACTAAGAGACCAGATTCTTTTTTTTATTATTTTTGAGATCATGTAACACTAAAGTTTTCAGGATTCCTCTATATTATCTTTAAGTTCTCATATCTCTTCTCCAATATAAAATTACTAAAATAAATTAAAATACTTTAGAGTCAATAAACATACCTTATCTATATTTTCTAGAACTTCTACTGTTGAAGGTTTTGCCTGTTTTAGAAACAGAAATAAGATATGAATTAAAATTAGTTACTGTGCTGGGCGGTGGTGGCACACGCCTTTAATCCCAGCACTCAGGAGGCAGAGGCAGGAGGATCTCTGTGAGTTCGAGACCAGCCTGGTCTACAGAGCGAGTGCCAGGATAGACTCCAAAGCTACACAGAGTAACCCTATCTTTAAAAACTTGTTACTGCAAATTTAGAAACTAGGTTTTTCAATGTTATCCAAGCTGTATGTCTGTTTTAACTATAATTGAAAAATTATAATTACCAAAACTATATATGATTTTTTTTGGGGGGGGTTCAAGACAGGGTTCCTTTGTATAGGCCCTGGTGCCACTGCCAGCCGCCCCCACTCCCAACAGACCAAGTCACATAACTGTTACCCACATTCACAGGTCACAGGCCTGGCTGTCCTGGAACTAGCTCTGTAGACCAGACTAGCCTTGAACTCAGAGAGTTCTGCCTGCCTCTGCTGAGATTAAGTGTTCACCACCACTGCCTAACTAGGATTCTTAAAATAACACTTTTTCAAAAACTTTCAACTATGGTAGCTCTACTTTTACCATTCTTAACCTCAAAAGAACAGACTTTTATATAGAGCAATAAATTTTTGTACCAAAATATTTACTGACTAAAGATAGTCTAATTCAATAATGCTAAAAGTTCACCTTGGGCTCTGTGTAAGTACCACACTAACTGACTGCAACACTGAAGCACAAGGCTCTGGAGATCAAAATCCATTCGTTCATTGCGATTCCTAAAGTACACAGTTTTGGGAGGGTTGTTTGCTTGTCTTGTTTTAAATGTGTATAGGTGTGTGCCTGAATGTCTGCATCTCTGGTGCTCACAGAGGTCATAAAAGGGCCCTGGATCTCCTGGAATTGAAGTTATAGACAGTTGTGAATCACCATAAGGGTGCTGGAAATTGAGCCAGAGTCCTCTGGAAGAGCAACTAGTTCTCTTAACCTCTGAGCCATCTCTTCATCCTCAAGTACATAGCTTTGTAAAGATTTTTAAAGAGTGTCTAAGAATACCCTATAATAGCTGAGATTATTTGCCAAAGGTATTTTTATATAAGCCAGAGTGTTTCAAATGACAATTGAGAAAATATTTATCAAGACAGTAACAAATGTCAATGCTATAGTTGTTATGTTAACAATAAGAGTTGTTAACATAAGGTTGAACCATACAAAATTGCCATTTTTGTATGTCAAAGCAGAATGCTGGCAACTTCATATAAGTCAACCAAATAAGAAAAACAAAGGAATAAGATTTTCAGTCTGTCATAGATTTTTAAAGAAAGGTCATTTCATTCATCTACAGAATGAAAACAAAGTTGATTCCACAGAAGTAGAAAATAAAAGGCTACCTGTCTAGGGAAATTGGAGGGAGACAAAGAGTTGAAAGATTAGGAATCAAAGGATATAAAACTAAATACAGAATAAATTCTACAGATCCATACAGCATGGTGATTACATCTTATAGTGATATGCTATATCTTTTACTGAGCTGTTTCAGAAAAGTTTATTGCAGTTTTAAGTATGCACATACACATGTGTGCCTACATGTATGCTCCTGAGTACAGGTGTCATGGGAAACCAAAGGTGCCACATCCCTGAAACTGGAGTTCCAGGCAGTTTGTGAATGACCTGACTGGGGTACTAGGAACTGAACTCAGTCTCTTTAAAAGAGCAACAGGTGCTCTTAGCCCCTTAACCATCTCTCTAGTCCTGATATACTATATTCTTGAAAAATGCTAACAGAGGGAATGTTAAGTTGTTCACCACAAAAAGTATAATTATGTGATGTGGTGATATCTTGCTTGTACAAATAAAGCCTGTCTGAAGGTCAGAGAATGGAGCTTGCCACTAGCTAAATATAGAGGTCTGGAGGTCTGTACAGACAGGAAAGTGAGCTAGTTGGGAGGAAACAGTATATAAGCAGGGGAAAACAGGAACATGTGCTTTTGTCTGCTGAACCACGAAGGAGGTGAGGTGTGGCAGTGGTTTGCTCCTTCTCTCTAATCTCTCAGCATTTTCCTCTGACTCCGGGTTTTTATTACTTAGACCAGTTATGAACTCCATTTACGCCGGGGGCGTTGGTGGCATATGCCTTTAGTCCCACCACTCAGGAGACAGAGGCAGGCGGATCCCTATGAGTTCGAGAGCAGCCTGGTCTACAAGAGCTAGTTCCAAAACAGGCTCCAAAGCCACAGAGAAACCCTGTCTCCAAAAACAAAAAACAAAACAAAAAAAGAACTCCATTTACAATGTGAGTTAATGTATATGTTAATTAGCTAGATCTAAATAATGCAAAGTACACACTTTAAAACATGTTGCTTACAATAAATGCATTCGATTTTACCTGTGAATTTTTTAAAAAGAGGAAGTCAATATAACACAAATCTAAAACAAGTCAAATCTAGCAAGTCAAAAGCTCATTTATCACGAGTCTCTATTATTATGAAAAGGAATAAGGAACTAAGTTTGCCCTAGCCTATATTATTTCTTCTTACATTAAAAAGTATTTATCAATATAGTTTATGTTTTATATCTCTAAATTTGGGATACTTTCTATAAGGACTTAACTAATAAAAGCTTCATTTTTAATTTTGTTCAACCTATAACTCTTAAAAGTGTATTTATTGTGACATCAGTAAAATTTATGTGACATACTAAAAAAATTTCAATTCCTTGTGTCTGCACTAGGGAAGCAGAAGCAGGGCAAATTCCTGTGAGTTCTAGGCTGCACAGTGAAAAGTCTGTCTCCAAAATAAATAGGCAGATAAATAAATAAATTTAAATAGATTATGTAGTCTATAAAAACCATAAATATGGTATAAAACTTTTAAATTCAACTACTTTTAGAATACACATGGAATTTGGGCAATATGAACTACTAGAGACATTAGATAGCCATAAAATAAACAGAACTACCAAAATAATGTCCAAAGAAGTAACTCTAAATGGAGTTAAATGAAATTAAATATATAATATAAAACTCACTGAAAAGTAAACCCAAAGGAGACCTTTACAAAAAACTTTATGTAACATTTTTATGTTAGACTTGAAAACTTACAATACAGAAATATGTTTTCTTACCCTCCATCGAGAAAATAATCCACCCATCTTTTATTTGTAGAAACTTGGCACAATAATAAATATCATGGGTTGTCCAAAAGAAACAGCTAGAAACAAAGCAAATATTTTAAATTTCAGTTAAATAAACAGCACATTCTCTCAAAAATTTTTATGTTGCAATACTACATTAAAATACTATAAAACATTTGTTGGTCTCCACTTAAATGAGACTTTAATCCAGATAGCCACTGGTGTATTCAAAGAGAGGAACCTCCTAGAAGAGAAGAGCTTTCATCCAGTAGCTGTTTGAAGCAGAAACATGCACCCACAGCTAAGCACTGAACCATACCCCTGGAATCTAATTGTGGAGAGGGAGGAGGGATGAACAAAGAAGCCAAGACAATGATGCAGAAACCCGAAGAAACAGTTGCCCTGACCTAGTGAGAGCATGGAGACCCTAGTCATAAAGCTGTGGAAACAGCATCGGACTGAACCAAGCCCTCTGAATGTGGGTGCCAGCTAGGAGGCCAAGACAGCCTGTGGGGCCTCTAACAGTGGAGCCAGTCTTTAACCCTAGAGCAAAAATGGACTTTGGGAGCCAATTCCCTATGGGGGGATACTACTGCAGCCCAGATACAGCAAGGAGGGCCTAGGCCCTCCCCCAAATGATATGATAGATTTTGAAGGTCCCTGGTGGAGAGCTTCACTATCCCTGGGGAGGAGTTGGGGGAGGTTGGTGGGGAACATGGGAGGATGGGAGGGTGAGGGAATGGGGGGAATAGATATGTAAATATGAGTAGTAATTAAAGAATTTAAATTTAAAAAATTTCAAGTCAAACCAAAAAAAAATTAAAAATAGTGTTGGAAATTTTTAATGACAAATCACTATAGAAGTATACACATATATACAGGCTTTCTATTTTTAAAGAAGTTACCCTATGTTATTCTTGTTATAAAAGAATGAATCCTTCGATAGACTGAACCTTAATTACTTTGTTAATTAAAGTGAGTAATGTCAATAGTTTGTCACAGAACAGCCTATAGTGTAATCACCTTGGAGATAAGAAAACTCAATGACAATAGTTAGTGATTTGTCCGATTAGCACACAAGAAACATACCCTAAAGTTCATCTGTCTTTGGACTTCTGGCTCCTGTTTCTAAAATCACTGCTGTTCAATACCCAATTAAACATGTGCTACTAAAAGCCTAAGACCCTCAAGCTAGAGGACCTTCATTTCAGCTAGCTGTGTGTTCCCTTTGTTTATCTATGATTCTCAAATGTTGAATAAAGACTCAGAAATTATAATATCATAAATCAATTTAACAGATAATCACTACAGAATTTCTTACTCTTTTAAGTTGAAATGGTTAAATTATACCTTCAAATTCACATGTTTTTATCAGGTTACAAGTTATATGCTTATCAGAATGTGAAACTACTTCATTTATACACATGTGCACACACACTTTTTTTATAGGTATATTCTTGACATCTTAACCATAAAAAATAATTATCAGCACCCAGTAAGAACTACAATACTATTTATATATGAGAATTGGCTCAAGGCATACCTATTTTAAGAGTTTCTTTTCTTAGAAAAGTAATGGATGCCTAATTATAAAGTACTTTCATTTACAAAGTGACTCTTCAGAACAAAAATATTAACTGTTCTACGATATTCTAAAGTATACAAACATAATTTTATAAACTACAATTAAGTTGAAAATGAAATAATATTAATCCTGCAATATTAACTCAGTATTCAAAATTATAAAATGTTATTGTGAGGTATTCTGGAGCTCTAGTGAATAAAAAAGAATACATTTCTGAAACAAGATATTAAACAAACCTTAAAACCTTCTTAATCTAAAAATAGTCAAGGCAGAAGGAAACATTCAGATCAACTACTTAATTTGATATTCTCAAATTACACATCACCCCACTGTTTCAAAATTATATCTAAAGAACTATATCCTTCCAAGTCAAGTTTGTAGCCATAACACTTTGAGACCAAATTTTCTGTTTTGGTTGGATATTTTAAGACAGGGTCTCCCTATATAGTCTACACTACCCTCAACTCCCACCTCCCTGCCTCAGCCTCCTGAGTACTGGCATTACAAACTTGCACTATCATGCCCTGCCTGGCTTAGATGGCATTTTACTGCTTGCAATTAATAACAATAACAACACCAATTACACACTTAGCGCTAGATCTCTAAGGGGCCCTAAAACAGATGGCTTGCAAGAATTTTATTTAGATACTATTCCTCCACTTCTCATATTAAGACCCTGAGGCTAGAAAAGTAGTATTTAAGCTCCAAAGATATTAAGCAACAAAACAAAACATTGCATTTTAGTTTTGATTTTTTAATGCAACCATTTATTCCCAACAGCATAAAATCAGAAATGGAGAATACTTATCCAGTGTAGGCTGGAATATATCCATATTGACTGGAATATCTATGTATAAGCTACAGATAGCTGAAGATACAGCTCAGAAGTAGAGTACTTGCCTAGTACATGTGGACTCCTGGGTTCAATTCTCAGCACCATAAAAAAAAATAAAAATAAAGTGAAATAAAATATACGAAGGTACCTTTGACCTTCTTAAATAGTTGATAAGCAGAGCTGCTAAAACTGAAAATGAGTTATAAACACAAGAGGCAGTGTTTATGGCAATGTATCAGATAGCCCAATTCCTTTATCTGATTAAATTTGATAGCTAAAATCTGCATTAGAAAGAAGTTAAATGGCTTGTTAAATTCTAGGACTCCAGTGAGAACTTTTAGAGCAACTGGCCTAAAATAGTTGTTACTGTATATTACCTTTTGAATGAGTATACCCACTATACTCATGATTCATAAGAAATACCTTTTATTATATCAATTATTTGTTTGGAGAATGTTTTGTGTTAAAGAAACAAACTATGGGTTAGTCTCCAGTCTTCCTGAAGCAAGAAGTTGTGCTTTTAAATTTATCCTCTGGAATATTAGTGATAGTCATTAAATCCATGCTTTCATATTCATTAAGCAAAGAATCAATTCTTATTGATTCAGAAATTTTTCTATCAAATTCATTTTATTAAACTGGTTTACTATAAATGATATGCACATATGATAGTAGTTTTTAACAGATATGAAACACAAAATGATTAATATTTTCTACAGTATTATGTTCATTTTTCTATCTCATCCACTGCTTCTGTCCTTTCCATCTAGACATTTTAACTCCAATTCTGATTGCCCATTGTTTACTGTGAAACAATGAGCAATAATTTACTTAAACATCCCTACTTCTCAACTTTCTCATCTGCAAGAGGGATACTTAGAGGGATACTTTCACCTCTTAAATGGTGAAAGGCGTAAATAACATGAACTAGACTGTTTACTCCAGTGCCTGATAACATGGTAATTACTCAGAAGAAATTGTTTCTCATGCTGTAGTCATTGCTGTTTTCTAATCCATCTCTACTTTCTTGCCAAGTAACTCTAGCCTTTCTTTGTAAAGCATAAATCACTCACTTGCTATTAACTGGACCTCAAGTGGCTTGTCCCCAACCTGTATGTCTCTTTCCAACTCTGATATCATAGTAAGACTTAGCATGTACAACCTTAAGGACTGAGGCATCTAAATGTGTTTTATTTTTTGAAGATTTACTTAATTTTACTTGTATGAGTGTTTTTCTTGCATGTATATGTGCACCATATGTGTACCTTTTGCCCAGAGAAGTCAGAAGTCAGAGAAGATGTTAGACACCCCAGAACTAGACTTACAGATGGTTGTGAACTACCATGTGGGTGCTCTGAGTGCTCCCACCCTCTAAGCCATCTCTCCAAGTTCCTAAGTGTGTTTTCCAATAAGCAACAATGCCTACCAAATTACGTGATATTTTCTATTGTTATCCACACTCAAGTTTAAGTGACAGAACTTAAAATCTTAAATGTCTTTCTTGAGTTCGAAACTCATTTCAAATCACATGAAAACCATAGGATAATGCCTCAAAACATGGCTCAACCATATACTAGCTATATGATCTTGGGTAAATTACTTAAATTCTCTAAGCCTTGGTTTATTAAGCAATGAAAATATTTACAGTCCATGAAATAATATATTAATCGAAATTATTTATCACTTAGTGTTCAACATAGTGTTTAATAAATGGTAGCCATTACTACTGCTATTACCAAAAAAAAACCCACAAGTAATATTTAAATGAAGCACATGCCTAACTTTTCATAAAATGAGCACTTATTTCATAACTTAAAATGTTTAAAAATAAGTTTGTATTTAGTGAAAATATTTTTCTCATTTACCGTAGTATGGAAATAAATAATATTCCTCATTATAATAAACTTGTAGGCCTTCGCTGCAAACGGCAAGAGAGTTTCGTGGTTAACTAAGTTCCAAACTTAAATATAAACTACTCATCTTCAACAGAACTTCCATGTTATACTACACAATTTAGGATTAAACGCAATTTGTTCAAAATCACTTCCAAATATCCAAATAAGCAATTCTGAAATGTCTTATAACAGGTTTATTACCCAAAAATAAATGAAAAGAAACACACCTCTAAAATAGTACTTTAGATGTGTGAGATGACTGCCACAAGAGAGAGAGAGAGAGGGAGGGAGGGAGAGAGATTTCTATATGATAGTCACCTGTCCTTCCTTGCATTCTTCCATAGGCACTATATGTGTTATTAACAGCACTACTTTGCTGACCATCTATGTCAAGGAACTTTTTTTAAAACTCTACGTTTAAATGAGCCACTCTTGTTTAAGAAAATGTATTCAAATTCAACTCCGTTTCCCTAAGAAGACACTATGGAGACCTTTGGGGCCTAGGGTAATAGTCCTGCCTGTCAGCTTCAACATATGCCTGAAACTAAATTTGCTCACAATCCATTACACCTCTAGACAACTTTGTCAACGCTGACACCGAGGCCACTGAGACAGAAACAATAGACTCTAAGCACAACAAACCAGAAGCCAACAAGGAAGAGCAGAACATGGAAAACTCAGTGAGTCACAGGTGTTGCTCACAACTGCAGACAAAACTTAAATTCACCAATCCAAACTCTCCGTCCAAAAAACACATCATCA